ACCGGATGATGACGTCCGGAAGGATATCACCAGATATGGAAAGTGGACAGTGTCAAGGTGATACATAATAAGTATTCCACAACAGCCTGAATCCACGCACATTGCTTTTGTACATCACAATTAACGTGGAACTGAGCGCAGGTGAGACACCTCCCCTGACACGCCTTCATTAACATATGTAAAACAGATGCAAATTACTTCCTGCATGTGTGAAAGACACGTTTGAGTGATCCCTGCGCGATCAGAAATGATTTCTAAAGTCATAAAAATAATTAATTTAATATAATGTGAGTGAGAAAAAAATCCTAAGTAAAAATAGATATAAAATATGTTTATCAAGCAAAGAATGAGTGATTGTGTGTCGATGTGTGTGTGCGCACGCTGCTGTGTTGCGCAACCGGCTCATCCATCCAATCTGAGTCTGAAAATATTAACTTTGTGTACGAGTTTATTACCATAATGACTGTAAACACAGAGGAACTAACATTAGTTAACTACAGGAGTTAGACAATGAAAGTGAAACAGCTGGTTTAGACCATAACATCCTTTCAGACAGCTTCCTGTGGTCGTCCACAGTTCATCCTGTTGGATGTGGTTGGTCCTTCTTGGTGGTATGCTGACGTTACCCTGGATGCTGTGGCTCTTGATCCAACACAAGGACTTCCTGTCTTGGTCTCAGATGCTCCAGCAAGACGTGCACCAACAGTTTGTCCTCTTTATCTCTAGTATGTCACCATAATGTTGTGTACATTACAATATTTTGAGCCAAACTGTGCTCTTACCCTGTTGATTGAACCTTCACACTCTGCTCTTACTGGTGCAATGTGCAGTTAATGAAGACTGGTCACCAGACTGGTCCAGTTAACCATGAAACCTCCCACACTAACATGACAGCTGTTTCACTTTCATTGTCTGACCCCTGTACATTTTATAATTAACTGTATATTAAACTCAGCTGATAGATAGATAGATAGATAGATAGATAGATAGATAGATAGATAGATAGATAGATAGATAGATAGATATGCAAATTTGTGCAGCAATAAAACACTCAAGAGAGCATATTAAAGCATTAAAACGATTAAAACATAAACAAAAGAAAAAATAACGAGATCCTGAAAATAAGAAATGATATTCTAGTAAAACTGCTACAGTAAAACTTCAGATTAAATGTTTAATTTAACTGTGAATCAAACCGGGAGCGGCTCACTCACAGCCGGACTCTCTCGCCTTTCGAGCGGACTCTTCCTGTAACTGAGCCCCCGGCTTTGTGAACCACCGGCCGGGCCTACAGGAGCTCGAAGACCGGCTGAGTTCAGGGTATCAGACGGTGTAATGACCGTGTCTGTTCTCCAGCTGACCGGTGTTGATACTAACCGTCCACGGTCTCCTCCATACTGTCTTCATCGCTGTCCATGCTGCAGGAGCCGGTGTTACACGTGAACTGGTACTCCTTAGAAGATGAGTCATTGTAGGTGTCTGCGTTCGTGCCTGATCAAAAACATGCAAACTGTTCTCTGACGTCATACAAACCATGCAAACAGTATCACGTTTTTAGAAGTTTTAAAAATAATCTGTTCAATAAACAAGGAAATAAATCAAATTAGTGTTTGTTTGTTTGTTTGTTTGTTTGTTTGTTTGTTTGTTTGTTTGTTTGTTTGTTTGTTTGTTTGTTTGTTTGTTTGTTTGTTTGTTTG